ATAATATATTTGTCAAACTTCTTTTTGACCCTATAATTTATTTTAATACGCCAGTTATATATTTATACATTTATTTCCAATAATGATAGGTTTGGTCCTCCATACTATGGAGCCTATAATTTATTTTAATACGCCAGTTATATATTTATACATTTATTTCCAATAATGATAGGTTTGGTCCTCCATACTTCAACACATGCACAGAAACGACAGAGAGCAAGTTGAGGTATTATAGTTTATTATACATGAGACAAGGTTTGTTTTTCAACCAGGGGCTGGTGGGAGTTAATACTTACTGGGAGGTAAATATCAGGTTTGACACCAGAGTGGAAGCTCACAGAATACTCTATTTCAAATGTTTAAATAAATAAAAAAAAATTATTTTATAAATTCATTTAAAATATGATGTTAGGATATTGGACAGTTATATTTTAGCCTACATGAAATCAGGAATATTTAATTAAACACACAAACCCTTTGTCTTCAGCTGATTTGTTATGAAAACATATATTTTTATTATTGTAATTGAGATTTATGCATACATATTATTTTATAACTTGTGTGCTTTGAAAATAGAGGGTGACAATTTCAAATAGTGCTAATTCTGCCATGAGTTAGCTTCTTTGTGTGACTTTTCATTTTAAAGACAATTACAAAGCGGTATCCAACATGTGGTGAACCAGGCAGCACACTTGATCAGGTCACCTGAGCGGTCAACAACCTTTTTCTTGATCCACTTTAGAATTGACTCAACATATTGAACCAACCACAAACACAATGAAAGGAAACTTTTTAGCATATTACTAAGTTTACCATGTAACTGATATTAAATAACTGCATTAATGTCAAAATAATTGGTCCCAATCCTGCCTAAATCTAAATTAATGGGTTGGTGACCAAAGCATCTGGTCTGAAATGAAATAATTTCAGTTTATGGAGAATAAACTGAATATTAATTTGAGGCAGGCGATATCTATTTAAAGTAATATTTGTCTCATTTAAACAAAGATAAAAAGGTAATAACAAAATATGTTATAGTTCCTGAAAGTTTTTCGAAAAAGGTTGGGATTCATGACGTGTCTGTATACAGACGAACAGAGAAGGTTCTCATGTTTGATGTGGAACTCCTTTTCTCTTCTTTACAAGTCAATTAGAAAAACTGCCTTATAAATACAATAAAATATATTCCTAATTATAGATGCTGTGTTTTGGTAAAAACAATATATTACAATTGTTCTGACTGTTTGATGAAGATCACAGGTAACTCAGTCAACTAAAAAGAAGATACTTTGTACTTTTCTTGGAAAACATTTGATCTTTTACAAATCTAATTTAAACCTGAGTGATAAATGAACTGTGCAGAGAATTAGCTTTCCACCTCTGGTTCAAACTCATCTACAAACAAGCACACACACAGGGTTCAGTTACTTTATCGGTGGCTGTAAACCATGGTGTTTGACCACAGGAAGCAGGTAAAAAAACACTGGAGCTACAGCAGAACCACACCAAATGCACAGAGCTCACAAGTAGCCAACCACTACGTACCAGCTGAGTCATCCCAAGCGCCGGGACTAATGTTAGCTGTGTTAAAGAAAAGCTTATGAAAACAAACACTGATACTTTAACGATGTGAAGTACAATTTATAAATTAAAAAAGCATTTGGATTAATCAGTTAGAAAACTGCATGGGTACATATACACCTTACATATTTGCATAAAGCTATTTAACTCAATTCAAACTGGATTTCACAGAAGCTACACAGGGTGTCTTTGTGAGCACCTTTGTGGGAAAAACACACAAACACACACATCATATAAGTATGGCTGTGACATTAGAACTTCAATAAGTACTCTACCTAAAAAGCACATTTTCAACCAACTGAGGGAGGAAAAAAAAAAGAAGATAAAAACAAATCACCGGCTGGATGGAATAAAAGTGTGCAGTCCTGTTGGCCTGACAAAGCTCCTAAAACACTGAAGGCTTTTTGTATCATCACAGTTGGCTTACTAAAACGTGAAGCAAGCAACATCACAAAGGTTCAACATAACAATACTGCCACTACCTCCTACAAACAAACAGTTAGAAAAATAAACCATTGTGACTGGAATGGTTAGAGGTTGTGATCCTTGTTGTCGGATTTCACCGCTGCAACATTACAGATAAGTGGAAATGTGAAAAGCTTCTTAGATTTTTTTTTTTGTTCAATTCTGTTGCACATAATCACACGGCATTGCACTTTCAGAAATCAAGTGGTATGAATTAGTGAGGTAAGGAATAGTAACAGGATTTCTCCTACATCTTTCACTGTGTTTATATGCATGGCACAGATAAAAATAACTTAGCTTTTGTATGATTGATAAATTTGCACGACATCTCTTTTTTTTAAAGACTTTTCCCACCTTAAGGAATGTACAGTATCTGAATGCTTAAAATGATTACTATCAGACAACAAATTTACATTGATTAAATTTAAATGTAAGCAATACTGGGTGCACCAGAAATGTCTTTGGCTTTTTTTTTATTTTTTAGTTAGTTGTTGTTTTCTTTGGTTGTCACAGTAACAAGTTGCTTGGCAGCTTTGGCAATATCATAGGCACACTGGATAACCTGCTGAGTGACCAGCTGGATGTCCGATGGGCAGGGGTTGTGCTCTGCAGCCTTCTGGCACTCTCCGTGGAGCCGGCTGGCGCTGGAGGTCAGCAGATAGAGAGAACTCCGAACCGTCTCCAGAGACGGCCTCTGTCAGGAGAAGAAGACGTGAAGATGAGAGTGATGCTGGAGAAATTAATGTTTAACAATGAATGGGACTTAACCGTTTTGTCACTTTGGTTTTTTTTTTTTTTTTGGTTTTTTTTTTACCTTTGGAAACAGGGCAGCCATCTCTGTTACAGCCAGGCAGATCTTTTCAGAGCACGGCAGAAAGCTGTTAGAAACAGGGACAAGAAGATGAAGGAACAGGGATGATTATATCTGTAACACGTTAAAAACTAAAGTTGCACCCATTGTCGGATGATTTCGATTCATCAGATTGTGTTAGAAAGCTTAGTGTTGAGGCGAGGGAGCAGTAAGTGATGAAACAACTACTGTACACGCTGAGGAGTGGAGGGAAGGACGACCCAACACTCTGGCCAAACTTTGATTACATGTACACTGATATTTGTGAGAATCTGATCAAATCTTCACGTTCCTTCACCAAAGACTTGCTGGAGGCCTACAAGTCACTAGATGTGTATAGGTGAGTGATAATGGATTAACATAAATTCAACAGGCTAGTTTTATGTTGTGTTCGGAGTTCTCACATTTTGAATTTGTATTTGTTTCTGTGTGAACAAAGGATAAAATGAGCTATTTGTGCACGTAATAGACAGATGACAGAAGGCGCCTCAGTCCATGACTGATAACTCTTCTGCACACCTCTGTTCATTAAAGCGCACAGTCTGCTGCAGCTGAACTGCCGCAGTTTAATTATGAAAACTGCGTCATTCTGTTCGCATCGTCAACATTTCGGCACCTTCTTGTCACATACACACGGGCCGAACTTTTTACCCCCATATACATAAGAACTCATAAGAACTTATTGTGTGATTGGTCAGAAGTTCTTATGAGTTCTTATGTATATGAGAACTCATAAGAACTTATTGTGTGATTGGTCAGAAGTTCTTATGAGTTCTTATGTATATGAGAACTCATAAGAACTTATTGTGTGATTGGTCAGAA